TTGCCAAAGGTAACCATTCATGTTGAGGATTGAGTTTCTGTGGACTGTGTTTGTTTGCCTTGGACATTGGCTCAGGTTTGTGATAATAAAAGGGGTTGTTTTTTTCTTGTGGTTCCTGCCTGTTTCTTGGAAGAACAGTTTCTCCTTGTGAGCATAACAAGGACTCACGTAGGCTGGGACAGAATACTGCCTGTCTGAGTCCTGCGGAGAGCCCAGGATCAGCGCATGCAGCATCAGCTAATTGGGGGAGCAGGGAGCTTCACACAGTCTTCAGGCAGAGATTCAGCTGAAGCTGCGCAAGGCTTTGCCTGGGTCTTGCTGAGCGGGAGAGAAGAGAGGATATAAAGGGGGGAGTTAAGAGAGGATATAAAAGGGAGGCGAAGAGAGGATATAAAAGGGGGAAGAGAAGAGAGGATATAAAGGGGGGAGAGAAGAGAGGATATAAGGGGGGAGAGGATATAAAAGGGGGGAGAGAAAGGATATAAAAGGAGGGGAGAGAAGAGAGGATATAAAGGAGGAAGAGAAGAGAGGATATAAAAGGGGGAGAGAAGAGAGGATATAAAGAGGAAGAGAAGAGAACATATAAAAGAGGAAGAGAAGAGAACATATAAAAGGGGGAGAGAAGAGAGGATATAAAATGGGAGAGAGAAATTTGTTAAATGAGTTTTGCCCCATTGTATGACTTTTCTTGCCACAGTTGTTAAGTGAATCACTGCAGTTGTTAAATTAGTAACATAGTTGTTAAGTGAATCTGGTTTCCCCACTGATTTTGCTTGTCAGAAGGTTGCAAAAGGGGATCACATGACTCAGGGATAATGTGACCATCATAAATATGAATCAGTTGCCAAGCATCCGAATATAAATCACATCACTCTGTGGATGCTGCAACGGTCATAAGTGTGAAAAATAGTCATAAGTCACTTTTTTCAGTGCCGTTGTAACTTTCAATAGTCACTAAGCGAACTGTTGTAAGTCAAGGACTACCTGTACTTTTTTCCATTTTTTTTTGGTCATCAAGTTTTTGACACCTTGCTAGACGACTGGTGGTACTTGGATATTGCCATATTCTAAAATCAAAATCAAAATCTAAGGGACTGGTTTGGACAAAACTCAGCAGTACTTTTTGGTGCGGCTGCTGATAAAAACAGGATCGCTAACATGATCGCCAACGTCCGATAACGGATATGGCACAAGAAGAAGAAGATATTCTAAAAGTGGTACAATCGGTGAAAAGGCAATGGGGATGCCAGCAGGATTGGTCACTAGATCTTATACTCCAGCCATTCAGGCATATTCCCCAACCAGAACCAAACTCCCATGCACCCTCCCTAATCCATGCATCACTTCTTACACATTTTTGCACACCCCCTCCCAACCAACACCCCCTCCCAACCAACACCACATCCACACATGTCCTCCCTGACCCACACACATCCTACGCTATTTCTTTAACCCCTTGGTACTTCTTGTGCACCCTCCCCAGCCCATGCTGCAATCCCATATGCTCTCATTAGAGAGAATATAAGTAGGTGCACAAAAGGCAGCATGTAGTTCAGGAGAGTGCACAGAGATGCAAGGAGATGCACAGGAAGTACTATATGGATCAAAGGTACACCAGAATGCAAAGGGCGCACAAGAGGCACAGTGCAGGTTTGAGGATAGCACATGGGAAGGACATGAGAGATGTCATGCAGGTAAGTAAAGATATATGGAAGTGTGGATGGGTTGGGGGGGATGAGTGAATGTTAGTTAAGGAAATACTTAACAATGAGCCAATCGTGGGTTGTCCAGTTTAAATAAATATGTTTTGATAATTTGCAATAACATAAAAAAATTAAGGAAACAATACAAAGAAAGTTAATTTTAAGGAGAAACCTAAATTGAATTAAATAATTTCAGAGTCATTCTAGGAAGCTGTTTCAGGCATAGGCTTGCAGGATAGGAAAATGCCAAATAACTTTTGGATAATTGAAGCAGTGATACAGGTTAAATAAATGTTACTATATGGAATACATCTAGGCACAATGATTATAATGCAGTATTGCAGGCAAACTCTGCCCACAGTCAGAAGTTCGATTCTGATGGGGCTCAAGGGTGATTCAGCCTTCCATCGTTCCAAAGCCAATAAAATTAGGGTCTGGGCTGTTGGGGTAATACGCTGACATTGTAAACTGCCCAGAGAGTGCTATAAAGCACTATGGGACAATATAAGTGCTATTGCTATATGTCTAGAAACAACTAAGAAAAATGATGAGAAAAATAATCAATTCTAAGATGAAAGGAAATTATTTTGTCAAAAGAGCTTAACTGATGGAAGACTTTAAAATTGTTTTGAAAAGTCAGAAGGTATTTTCTGACAATACTCTGATAGAAAAAATAGAAATTTGTTATTGAGATAACTACTGTTAAAAAAAATACAATCTAAAACAGACCACCCATAACCAAAATCAACAGTTGAACAAAATAAAACAAAAAAGCAGCTCAACTCTACCACAAATGCTCCAAATCATCTAAATGAATTTGTATAATGGCTTTTTGAAAAATAACAATATGGGGCCAAATTTCAAATGAGGTTATATAACTCTATAATCTCGGGACTACCTCTAAGACAGCAATAAAATGGCAGAATATAAATTTAATACATATATAAACTGGACTCATAAATTTGGCAGCCCATGTAATGACCTCAGCACCAGTGTTATGGTGCTAAATTAGAAGCCAAATGCCAAGGGGCTGTATTCTGAACCACAGTCTGCTATAGGATGGAAATGAATCACTGTCCTAAGGGCTGTGTTATATGGTATAATTGTTTACTCCATTCAACCATATCTGGTTCTTGGAGGCTGCCTGGACAAGTCCCTGCTATTTTGCTATAATATAATACACAAATGTATGCTGTTTCTGCACGATGAAGCATATAAGATAGACAAAATAATAAATCTACACATATATATTACACCATATTACCATTTTTTGGATTCAGCTAAAATTCAGTTGAAGATTGTGTGTAACATTTAAATGCTGCTATCAGATGTACCAACAACTACATATATCTACTGTAACCTGTTCTGTTTGCTCCAGACTGCTGCTTGAAATTGCTCAGTATTCTGCAGAAGATGAATTATCATTTTGGTGAATTCATATATTTGATAGATATAATCAGTAATTGCTCATTTTTCACCTGGAATAAAAGCGTTTCTCCTGAAAGGTCCTTTATATCTTTTTGACTTTTGAGTTAGAAGACTTATATCATGAGCCAGCAATATTTCATGATTATTAGTAAAGATATTATTTTTGTGTCCCCAACTATAATTGGATTTCACCTTGGAAACAATCATATGTACTATTAGAAAAATAAGTCTTTGGTGTGATAATCTCCCTCAAAATGGATTTCATTTTAGAAATCTCATACTATTAAAATATCTCTCTGTTTCAAATCTAAAAGAATATTTTTGTCAAAATTACTATCTTTGAATTTATCTGATCAAAAACTGGTAGCCATTTTTAATCAGAATAATGATAATATTCAATTAATTTGTACATACCATTTTCACTATCCTAAAAGAAAATGAATAATATGAAATTAAATTTTCATGACGACAAAAACAGTACCAGCACACATTCCGAGAAGCAATAAATCTTAAGGGAAATGTTTTCTGTTGATTGATAGCAGAACCATATTTTTGGACATAATTTTAGCATAATGCAGGAGCTGCGGGAGTTGAAACAAAAACAGAACAAATGAACATAGAATTTCTTCCTAAATTAAGCTTATCTCCCAAATTTTCTCTTCAGTTGGGCTACTGTAACAGAAATCTTAATCACATAGGCAATGTTGGGTTCAAACCCCTTGTTTTTTGTTGTTGGACCCCAGAAACAAATGAAAAAATTTGCAATTTGCTATAGAAGGCTGATTGTAATATCATCCCTAGTAATTTTCAAGCACAGATGGTAGCAAAAAATGTGTTTTTTCTAATTAAACATGAAAATTGATTTCAGAAAATGAAAATGAAACAATAACATTCTACTTCCATGCCAATTAATTTATCCTCGTTTTCCTCCTCCCTGTTGGTAACAAAGAAAGTGCATATGGAAGCAGAGTGCAGTTCTTTATTATGTTTGATAACAGACATAGTGAGGACTGAAAAAAAATCCTTTCAAATCTACCATTCTTGATTTCCTAAAATTTGATTGGTGAAAAAAAATGTATAACAACAGCTATTCTGTTCCACTGCACTTACTACCAGGTGCCTGGATGCTTGAAACATAGCAGAAATGTTAACTGTCCCATCTTCAAAACAATGCTTCTTAATTTTAAAAGCTGAAGATAAAACCATCAGTAGTTATATAATTTCTTCCATGTACAGATTGAGTAGTTGTAAACATTCTCCAAGGAAACCTAAATTTTAAATTTTGATAAACAAAAGCCTTCAAGACACTCCAAAGCAGTATAATGAAAATGGTGAAGCTTTTTCTGTAACAGTGACCTACAAAGTTTTCTCGCCTCCTTCCATCTGATCTGGCAAATAAAGTTCAACTACCGAGATCCCTTATGCCTCAATAAGTGCTGTTTAGAAAATGCCATTCCAGTGTCCTATTATTGTGGCTGGTGGTTATATATGATTCTTCCTTTACTTAAAGGAAGGAAAAAAAATCCCCAAAATGGAAGATCGCTTAAATGAAAACCAGGACTGTTTTATCAACTGTTTAGATGGTAGTAATAAAATTCACAAAAAGTTTGATAGGTTTGAGAAATGGGCTAAAATAACTGAATGAAATTAAACTGTCACACAATTTTCTATCTTCTTTTAGTAGAATTTAGAAATGCACCACACATATTAAAAGCATCATATTGATTACTGTTCACTGGATTCTTTGTCCCATTGGGTTTCTAGATCAGTATGCATAAACTACAATCATAACTTGTCAAATATATAATTTGACTAAATAAGTCAATATGTCCACAATATATGGATTCTGAAAACATGCTGTATTCTTACCACATATCGAGGCAAGTGGAATATTCTGTTGAGCCCAAGAGAACATCTGGAGGTCGATACCAAAGGGTTACCACTTCATTAGAGTAAGTGTGACTAGGAACAGATTTAGCTCTTGCAAGACCTGAAGAATAATGCAAATACAACAATAGAAAGATAAGAAAAAAAATAACTGATGTACTGTACCTTTAATAAAATTGCTCATAACACTGCTTGAAAGACAAGTTTTGATAACTGTATGTTATTTTAATCAAAGAAAACTAATATACATTTTTATCATTCAGCCACTGTAAGACAAAATGAAAATTCATCATAATAGAGATTGCAAAAATAAGATCTGTCACCATTACCATCTTTTTAAAGATCTGATGTCCATAATTAAATAGAAGACAGAAAATATAATTGATATAATTTAAAAACTAGTAAAAATAACTATTAAATATAAACATACAGATACATTCTTAAGCATCAGGAGCTAAAATAAAGAATATAACCAAACCAATAAGATAAATATTACATCTTTATTTATTTTATACTGGAATCATTTCAAGCTTCAGGCATATGTTATACTGAAGCATGCTAAAGAATGGAAAAATAATATTTTCATACTATTTTAACAATTAATTCATATAATACATTATTCTTTGAAGTTAATAGGTATCTAGAACTTTTATGACAAATAAAGATATGTGGAACATCAAAATTTAAAATATTTATTATCAAGAGAAATTTCTTTTTCTTAAATCTCACTGCAGGTTGATACAAATAGGAACTCATGAATAAACGATAAAAAATTGCAGAAAGGTAAGAGTTATGGGAAGAATTGTGGGAAATAGAAGAACTGCCAGTGGTAGAATTATGCCATTCAACAAATCAAGCAGGCATTATGCTTTATTATGTAGAATACTGTACTGCCATACGGCAACTATGCTGTCTTTTTAAAATTTTTGTTTTCTAAAGTAACCATACAGAATAAGGTTAATATATTATTAAAGTGTGCTTGAATAGCCTTTTTTAAAAAAACAAAATTGAGCATAATAACTGAAAATATATCTTGATAATTTGGCAAAAACAAAAATAAAACAAAGCTACTAACTATGCCTGAATACTATTATTACAACTAGCAATTTGAGAAAATTCCAAAAATTGCTCACAAAAACCAGAATAACCTTGAGGTTTATTCTGTTTTCAGAAGATCAACCAAAGAAATACAGAAATATCACATATTTTTATTGTGGCTGTAGCCTGCAAAAGCTACTGCCTCAGACACAAAATATACATCCAGAAGGAAAATACTCTGTCATATTCTGAGAGTTCAGAATCAGAGTCGTCCTAGTCTTCCCTTCCTTCTCTATTGGAGATGAAGAAAATATGTTTTTTTAGAAGAAAAGGAACAGGGCTGGGAAAGAGAGGAATTTGCTGTGTACAGCCACTCAATTTTCAAGAAGCTGGAATAGTCCAGAAAATTGAAGAATAATCCAGATAATAGCCATTTTGGACATCTACCATTTTATATGTAGGGCTTCAATCTCTGTTGGATGATCCTAAGCATTATTTTGCTAGTATGTGAAACTAAGGATATACAGTGCTATGATGGTTCTACACACTGTTAAGTCTTTTTTTTTGTATTGGAATGTAAGTTGATCTCTTCCAATCTGTTGGCCACTGTGTTATTCTCCAGAACTGCTGGCCTGGTTAGAACCTTTTCTTATTTTTCGGTTGCTAGCCATATTTCTATTAGCATTACATCAGTTTCTGTAGCCTTCTGACTAAGTAATGAATGGAGTGCTGTTCTAACTTTAATACCAGAGATTCTTATAAATAGGGAATATCTTCTAAGGTAACTGTAAACCGTACAGTATTTCAATATCTCCTTTAAATTTTGTTTCATTTCTTTGAAAACTATTGGTGTCTATTGGTGTCCTTCAGCATATCAATTGAAGCTTAGAATCTCGTTTTCAGTTCAGAAATTTTTTTTGAAAGATTTTTTTGGCATGCTTATTTCTATCTTCTACATCTTAACATATGCTATTGTAATACTGCTTCTTGTGTTCCAACATCTCTCCAAATTTTTTTGTTAAATTCCTTTCTGACATTTTTGTCCTCATCTTTGGCTTCTTTAATTTCCTTGGCAATTTTCACAGTTGTTCTGCCATGTAATTGTTTTCTTCTGTTTGACAATCACTCATTGCATTCTACTGGTTAAGGCATCAGGCTAGAAATCAGAAAGTGAGTTCCAGTCCTGCTTTAGACATGAAAGCTGGCTCACAGGGTTGTGGTTGTAGGAAAAATAGGAGGAAGGAGTATTTGGTATATTCACTACATTGAGTTATTTATAAAAATAATAAAGGCATCTTTAAAAAATTGTTCTTGCTATACCCTGCCTAGCAATATAAGGAACACCAGCCGCCCTGAGTCCTATGAGGAGAAGGGCGGGGTACAAATTAAATTATTATTATTATTATTATTATTTTTATTATTATTATTATTATTATTATTATTATTATTATTATTATTATTATTATTATTATTATTATTCAACTTTCTGATGCCTAAGATGTCAATTTCTAAATTTAACTTCATTTAATCTTTCACTGTGTTGAGTTTACCCCATGTTCATGCTTTTTATGTTCCATGTTCCGTGTTTTCAGCTTCAGATTTTCTTTTCCAGTATGGCAATATCATCAATTAAACGTTCCAAAAGCCTTAACTGAGCCACATCATTAGCACACTGAAAAATCGTCAGCTTTTCCTCAATGTCGTGTTGAATGCTAACTGATCTGAGAAATTCATCATCTAGTATTATAAATCTCATGTTTTCTTTCAATGTAATTGCCTCAGTATAAATATAGAAATGATTTATCATTGCCTTTTCTCGCATGGTATAAATGGATACCACTAAAGTAATCTGCTTCCAGGACCTTCTTATATCACTGCTATCCCCTATATAGATTTTTGCTTGGTTTAGCTAGGCAGTTGGGGTGACTCTGATGGGTTGGGTGACCTTGTTGGAGATATATACTCTTGGCATGAACATCCAAAGTTCTTCACTCATTCTTTCTAGGAATTCCACACCACCATGAAGAGATAGCATAGCAGGATTTGGGGAAGACAAATATCATTCAATGTTATTCTAAATACTGAATTGTAATATTTTCCCATCTAACAGGGAGATGTCATTTGTAGAAGCATTTTATGCACTGCCTAAGGCATTGAATCTTCTTTTCAAATCTTCCTTTTAAGTTGTCAACAATAGCATTGTTGTTTGAATAATTCTACAATTGGTTTTTACCAATTTATTTATATTTATCTCAAATTTAAAATAAATATTTTAAATAAAGTTAATTCTATTTATCTCTTGTAAGATTAGTCTATCTTTCAATGAGAGGATCAAGAGTTGAATTATCTAATTGCTTGCACCTATTCTACTTGGATGCGGTATTAAAATTGTTACTTCTTTCTTCCCTGCATTTGAAACTTTAACTTTAAAGGCAGTATAAGTTGCAACATCCCTAATCCTGTCATATACAGGGGTTGGGAAAGGGCACTAGATGATTTGTCCTTATACAGCATCTGCTGTTGGTAGGGTCTACTGAGACTATATCCCAAAGCAGAAGATGAAGTTGGGACTGAAGACCCATCAGTCTTCAATCTGCAATCTACTTGTGAGCTCAGCTATTCCACTGCAGTTTTTAAAACATATTTAAAGATTATTCAATATCTTCACATCTTTTAAAGAAAAAGATGTAATAATTTTATATTAGCAATTATAATCACTGCACTTAAATAATTTCAATATTAAAAGAATATATGTCTTAAAAAGGTATATCTAATATGAAATTATTTCTAAAGCAATGTAAATCTTTAAATATTAGTGTTTTATTTTTCTCTAGTCTTAGTCAAGAGCCAGTTTGGTGTAGGCTAGAAACCAGGAGACTATGCGTTTTAGTACTGCCTTAGACATAAAACCAGCTTGGTTACTTTGGGCTAGTTACATTTTTCCCAGGCCTAGGAAGCAGGCAATGGCAACCCAACTTCTAACATCTTGTCAAGAAATCTTCAAAAACTTGTTCAAGCAGTTGCCAGGAGTCAACACTGACTTGAAGACAAAAAAACAAAAACAAAATAGAACAAAAAGTCTTAGTAAAGATCTATAACTGGGTACAAATTCAAGGCACACTGCAATATTTGTCCTTTTGCTTTAAATGCAATATTTAAATATTTGCTACATTTAACATCATATTTAAAAACAAAAGAATTATAGGTGGTCAGAAGGAAGAACAAAATGATTAAATATTCAAGAAAGACGTAACTATGATGTAACAGTAGTTACAGTCTCATGACCACTATCTTAGTAATTACAGTCTCATGACCACTATCTGAGCTATCAAACAATAGTTTAGCATTTTAGAATCAATTGTATTATTGTCATTATATTACAACATTACGAAAAACCTAAAAGACTGCATTTTCCTTAAAACTTTCAGGTTACAAATAAATGCTCATTATATCATTATTGGCTTTTTCAGCCTAAAAGTGGCAACGTATTTCATATTATTTGTGGATCCTCATCCAAAATTTATCTAACTGCTTCTTCCAGCTGAGGAAAAACTGTAGGGCAGGATTAATTAGCACAGCATGTGCAATCACTTTGTTTAAGGATGTCTTGTCTATTTCCATGGTTACACCACAGGAAGCTACGAACTCTTTTTTTATAGTCAGGGTTCCTGATATTGGTAGATATGAAAACTTTTTAAATTTTCAAGTGAGAATGAAAGCAAAAGCAAAAGGTAATTAGGAAAATACCTAATTTTATATTAAGCAGATAATATTTGATAATGTTTGCCTGGATTTATATGGATAACATCATGACAATTCTGTGAAGTGCCTTTCAGACCTTGCTCTTTTTTACAAATAAAAAGGTCACTAAGGAGGCATCTTGCTGCTACCCCTCATTTTTTTTACAATGAGCTAATAGTCAGAATTCGGCATATCATCTAATTGTTGAGTTATTATATGTGCAATAAAAAATCTCAAGAAAATAATAGGTGAAGGGCATGTGTTATTTATGTTATACTTTGTATCAGTATCACTACTTATACCACATATTCAAAGACATCAAAAGCCAATTAAATGACTGTGAATTAACAATATTTAAGACATTAAGAATGCAGTTAAATATGTTTCTCGTTATCCATACCAGTGAATAGTGTTAATGTTTGGTCTAGTGGTTAAGGTGTCAGGCTAGAAAGCCTGAGACCGTGAATTCATGTCCCACCTTAGCAGTGAAAATCAGCTGGGTGACTTTGGGCCAGCCACTCTCTCTCAGCCCAACCCTCCTCACAAGTTTTATGTTGTTCAAAAATAGGGGGAAGAAGATGTATTGGATATGCTCACTGCCTTGAGTTATTTGTAAACATAATAAAGGTGGGATACAACTAAGTAAATAAAATAAAGATAAATACACCATGCAAGGGGTAGTTCATTAAACAAAATGAATTTTAAATTAACCTTTCTAAGGTTATTTTTCAACAATAATAGAAAAAAAAACATCCTGGTTCCCATTAATTTTTATATGATCTTTGAAAAATCACAGAGTTCAGTTACTGGCAGAAAAGAACAGAAAACATCTTCAAAAAGAGGAGAAAAAGAAGGCCTAGGTAACTACAGAATGTTCTGTTTGATGCTGATGAGAAAGACATTGACAAAATGAGAATTATCAGAGAGCAGCAGCTAGCAAGTATTGGGATGTTTAGCTTGGAGAAGAAAACAGTAGGGAGACATGATAGTTCTCTTCTAGTATATGAAAGGCTGTAATATAGAAGACGCAGAATTGTTCAGAAGATATGACAAGAAACAATGGATTTAAATTACGAGGATGTAATTTAACTGGCTAGAAATCAGGAAAATTGTCCTAATATTCTATTATTAATGAGATCAAACAACCATAATATGCCACAAATAAATGACAATATCTTGAAACAACTCATACAGGACCAAATTTGTCTAATTCTGTTACTAAATAGCATCCTATTATAATTAGTATGAAACTCCAGAACAATAAGAAGATATGCTTATACATATTACTTAGAAATCTTCTGGAACAGAACAGACTTGGAAAAAATAGTTTGCAAAGAAAATGTTACACATCTTTGTTTAGCAACTGTCTCAAAGAGTGATTGTTCTCAAATATGACTTTAATTAAACAGAAATTAAAGTCCATTTTCCAATTGGCATTTAGGACAACAAATCCCCCCACTGTGAAAATGACTAAGTTCTGGCCAGTTTCAGGCAGCAACTGAAAGTGAGCTAAAGGGTGCATGGCTGAGCTTATTAACCTTTCGTTGGTGCTTTTTAAAGAAGCATTTTAGCTGTCTGAGAGAAAAACAGCTAAGGAAGAGATAGTTTGCTTAATCAATCTGCCCCGCAAGGAGACAAAAATTGGGGGGAAATGAGTCAGACACAGAATATTATATGAAAAAATTCTATCTGAATAAAATGGCAGCAACAAATGATCTTTGCAGTCTTCTCTTTCTCAAATCACTTAGCAACAATTTTGCTTAATTATCTGCGTAAAATCAATACAATTAAACATATATATTATACATATATCATTATAATATATATAAACTAAATATACATATGCACGCACACCCATACTGGATATATATATTTGCATTTCTTTTGAATATAATATTATTGGTATTGTTATGAGTGGGTCTTCTATGTAGTTGAAATATTTATGGTTTGAAAACTGTATTTATACACCTTTTTTCCTATTTGAAAAAATATGAATGTTTCTATCCTATAAAATATGTCTTTCATTTAAAATCCTATGATAATTAAAACCTTGCAACTATGAATTCTGTTTTCAAATGATCTCTTTAATATTCAAATGGAAGAAGGGGATGACCAGTAACAAGACAGATGGACTCAATATCAGTGGCAATGGGTGCACCGTTACAAGACCCGAAAGGCGAAGTTAGAAACAGAACAACCTGAAGGAAGCCTATGGGGCCACTAATAATACCAACTAGATGGCGCGCAATTAAATATGAAAGATGAAAGATATTTCAGTCTTTTTGAATTTTGTGGGAATAGGAAGCGGAAGTACTGTGTGCTGCCTTGAGTTGATCAAAATAAAGGCAGACTAAATCAAAGACATACGAACTTGCTGCATTACCTGTTCCATTTTCTCTATTGATATGGTGGCCAAAGTCAACTTGTACTGTAACTAAGAAGAGAAGTTCTCAAGCCATCTCTCAACATTGCTTACATCATTATCAAATAATCTTGTAATTAATGGCTTGCCTACCAAAATCTGCAAGTTTCAACTCCCCAGTGTCACTGATCAGAAGATTTTGGGGTTTCAGATCCCTGTGCAAAATGTAACGTTGGTGGATGTACGAAAGTCCTCGCAGCAATTGAAATAAAAATAACTGAAAAAGAGGGGGGAAAACATGTTCATTAATATTTGTATGTAGTGCATTGCCTTCCTACATAAAGATCAGAATGCATATATATGGTGAAACATTATTAATATAAATATTATTTAAAACCAAGATTTTTAACTGAACCGACACAACAGGAATTAACACTCACACATATTTCACTACATCCAACTGCATAAACCTTCTTTAACAACTCACAATAGTTAATTCCATCAAAAAATAAATTGTAGCAAGTCAGTTATATTCTACTTATTTGCATAGTTTTACAGATTAGATGACAGCCTAAAAGACAGGTGTGTATGCTTGTTAATGATAGAGAATAACAGCAACAGCACATGGAAAGTAGAGATGCACAAGACCACATTCCTTCCAAGAAACAAAAAGAAGTGAAAAGGGATTACACTCAAAGATATTTTAACTATAACAAGTCATTCAAATCTTTATTTTGAAAGCTCAAACTATGAACAAAGTTATTTTATTCTTTTTCTTTCATCTACAGTAGCTTTCAAAACTGAAAATGAGATTAGCTATTTTCTCAGTATGTCAACCAATGTGCATTTTATGTATTATTAAAAATTCAGTCTTGTATGAACAACATTTGTCAAAACATTACATCAAAAACTGTCTTGGATGCTGGCAAAATATTATTATTCCATGCAGACTTCACAGAGATTTAAGACAACAGTAAATCCTTTGAAAAATAATTGTTTTAACATTAATATTAATGATAAGAGAGTAATTTGATAAGAGAGACAAACAATACAAATTCAATTTTGTACAGCAGTACCATTTTCATAAAATTTGTAAGATTTATAAGCTATTATAAGTTTTTGGATTCAGTATGCTGAAATGAAATAGTTCCTAATTACTTATCATCTTAGCATCTGTATGAACTTGTAAACTATGATTATGAAAGAAGTTAAACATGGAAATACAGAAATCTTTCATTTCTTTTCTTGTATGCACACATTATTTTAAAAAAGCAATTTTTGCTGAGGATAATATTTGCTAATAAAATACAGGAATAATATTAGAACTTTCAAAAGCTGCACTGCAATGCAGTAAAATAAAACAAAGAAGAAAAAGTAAAAAAATAAATTGCAACTGTATTATAAAATTCTATTTTGAAAAAATACAGAATTAGGATGGTTGAAATTAAACTGCATGAAAGTTTATTTCTGACTCACCCACCCACCCATTAGTAACATTTTTTTCCAAGAAAAAAAAAGAGAATTAATTTAAATTATTGTGGCCTCTCAGCTGAATTCTTGCTCTAGTAAAAGTTTCAAAAAATGTCACTGGAATTAAAACAACACATTTTCTTCTAATCTATATCCCACTGCAACTCACAACAACTTTAGTCTAGCCTCCCATTACTGTAAAAGTTATACATATAGAAGACTATTTATACAACTCAAGTATTCTTCTAATACTTTATCTGCTTTGCATAGAAATGCATTTTTATTAACTCCTCTGTATTAACATTATATAATCTATGGTTCTGGAAGGGGACTATAGCAACATCCCGGTATAGGATCTCCTCTGCCCAGTTCAAGGAGATCAGTGAATTAATTTATCATGTTCTCTTGCATTGATCAATGTATTAATCAGATACTATGCTTTATTAAACACCCACTAGTTAATTGCTTAGATGAGGATAATTTCTGCTAGGTGACCTCGCTTCCCAAAAAATTCCTGGAAAGTTATTAAATTCTGTTCAGAAGCAGCTGCTACAAGGAGTATCTGGATATAATGTTGTCATTATTAATGTGGTATTTATATTGCTATGTGATTAGATTTTGTTATATAGACTAGTAATAATGGTATCTTTTATAAATATTCCTTTGTTTTTATCTTGCAATGATTTTGATCGTTGACGGTAAATAAATAAATACTTAGCTAAACAGGCAGTTCAATTCTATGGCAGCCTTAAATAAAGATCTCTGAGTACAACCAAATGTATAAGTTACCTTTAAGAGCCAAAAGTTCTGTTTCAAACTATTTGGTTTGAATAGAACACATTACAGTATAGAATAAAAATACCGTATCTGAATGGTGTCTCAGCCAAAGCTGTACTGAGTGGGAAAGAGTAAAATTTACATGTGAAGAAATATATTTTTAAATGTATAATTTAAACACACAGAGGCATCATCTTATGATATTATTTAGTCCTTATTTCCATCCTGAATAAAGGATAGTATTTACTTTAAAACTATCTAAATTATTTTAAAACGTGCATTTAATGATAGTATAAAAAAGAAACAATATTTTTGCTGCTCTGTCCTGACAACTGCACTTTAAGTGAGGTAATGCTTTTCAGTAATGAGTCCCGGGACATGTAGGAGGAATGTTGCCATATGAAGATCAAACCAATTTAGGGGTTTATGGAGTGTGATATCAGTGTGTTAGCAATGATTAACGTGTAAGGGCAAACACATTAAAAACAACAATTTCTCTAATAAAGGCACATCAACTCTTGCCTCAAAGAGATACATTTTTCCAACTCTCATTATAGATTACAGATTGAAACATATCCTGATAACAAGAATTATCAACAGCTCTGAAATACCATTCATTGCACTTGAAACTGATGCACTATGAACAAAGGTATGAGGAAATAATATAGAAAGCTAAAATTTAGCAGTACAATTTTTTAAAAATCTTTTCTATTTAAAAATGATGGGGAAAATGTTAGTCTGAAGAAAAACTTCGCCATTGTCTAGAGCAGACATGTCAAACACAAGGCTCGTGGGCCAGATCCGGCCCGCCGTGTGGTTCCAAGTGGCCCGGGGACTTGCTCCAGAAACAGCGAAGGACTGGCCTGCGGTCCCTCGGCCCAGCCCAGGCCAACTGGGCACTGATCTACAACCTGGTGCTAGCCATCAAAGACAGAACACACTCAGCCTTAGATCCATGGGGCAGCCCTGGAACCAACGACAGGTGCCCCTACCCCATACCCTGGCAGCGAGCAGGTGTCCCAGCTGGCTGTCTTCCCCCACAGGCTGACTATACCCAGGATGTTGATGCTGGTCGTCTCCTGAGCACACACCCAGGGAGCGGGGCAGAGGTGGCAGGGCAGCTCCTCGCTGGTTCCAGGGCTGCCCCATGGATCTAAGGCTTTGATGGATGCAGCCAGGTTGTAGATCAGTGCCACCCTTCTTCACAACAGCACCTCCATGACCCACTTGCTGACCTTGCCTTGCAGCCACGAGGTTTCCCTTTCACCGGGACTGCATGGGATAGCGATGGCTGGCAGCAGCAGGAACACCGGCAGCGCTGGCAATCTCTCCCCCTCCCATCACCCCTTCCTGAGCACGGAGGAAGGAAAGAGATAAGAATGAAAAGGAAGGGAGGGAGGGAGGGAGGGAGGGAGGGAGGAGATGCCCCAGTTCATGCAGTTCTGCTTTAATCCTGGATCCCTTGAGACTTGGGCTCAAAGGAGAAAGCAATTTTGTGTTCTCTTTTGTCACAGACAAGACTTTATTGGCAATCCAAGTTAACATTGGTAGTCTTGAATTGTGAACTTCTAGGAAAGTATCCCCTCCTTGTGTGTTGCAAACAGCCATTTCCAGTGGAGCAAAAGGGGCAAAGCAGAGTGAGGAAAAATATTTTCCTTAGACCATGGCAGGGTCCCTACAGGAGAGCTCTTTTAAGGATTATGCATTAATAGAAAAGCAACTAACTTACCTCTGTTCCTAAACACTAAAGCTGTTGCACATAAAACACAAAGGAGCTCTGATCAACTATCACATCCACATTTTGACAGTTTTGCTGTACTGTTTTCTGTGGACGCCCCCACTAAATGCAAGCGTGGGATAAACTGAGCCTGGTTTGTTCTCAGTCTTTTAAATGGCCACAGACTACTAGCATTTGATCACAAATCAAGGAGGCATTGAGAAATGTTTCCCCTTTTGCATTTGAGCATCCAAGAAGAAACAGGAAAAGAGAAAGAGGAAAGACAAACAAAATTAAAGAAAGAGGGGAAGGAAGAAGAAGGAAAGGAGAATGAAGAGGGAAGGAAAAGGAAGGAAGGAAGGAAGGAAGGAAGGAAGGAAGGAAGGAAGGAAGGAAGGAAGGAAGGAAGGAAGGAAGGAAGGAAGGAAGGAAGGAAGGAAGGAAGGAAGGAAGATTATAATGAGAGGGAGGAAGGGTCTGAGGGAAGTCCTGCCTTAGCACTTGGCCATGAGCAGCCCTGCTGCCCTTTCGCCATCCCCTTGTCCCCTGCTCCTGACCTCTTCTGGTAGCAGGGAGAGGAAGTGGGCCTCCCTCTGACCCACACATTTTGCCCTCCCATACATGCTATGAGCAACCTGGCCAAGGAGAGTGAGCCAATCAGCAACAGCCTTAAGGAGGAGGTAAGTGCAGCTGGCCACCCCCTTGAGAAAGGCTGGACTGAGTGCTTGCCCTCCACTGCCCAGGGCTTCGGGCAGCTTTCATCACTGGGGGTGCTCTGCATGGTCTGAGAGGGACAGCAAGGCTCCTCTGGTGGACAAGGGTATAGTACTCATCCTGGTCTCACCTTCCTCAGCTGGAGATAATGGATACCCTCCCAGCCTCACCCAGGCACCCCCGACATGAGCGACGTTAAGCTGGCCACTCCCACTCTGGCCACACCCACCCCAGCCCCCCAAGGTTAACCACAACCCTGATGCGGCCTTAATGAAATTAAGTTTGACATCCCTGGTCTAGAGGTTCACTTCTCTAACAACTGGTGCTGGATAAGTTTTTATTTAATTAAGAGGGAAAATATTGCAACTGTGATTGTTTACCTGGTGAAGAATAGCTTTCTATTTTTTTATTTTTCAAAACTTCAAGATCAGCCGGTAGCCAGGCCAGCCAGTATACTTGAGTTTTTTGGTAAAATGTTATTGAGGAATGATAAAATATACACTCTCTCCAGACTTTTGTTTGTTTGTTTTGTTATTCTAAGTGTATGGGGCAGACAGGCAAGCAAGAAATGATCAAAGCAGTGCCCTTACCAGCAAGCA